TATTATTCAGTTGCTTAAGGCTACTATATGGACTATCTGCTAGTTGGTTACTGAAAAATGGGCACTAAACTGTAAACAAATTTTGAATAAAGCTGAGCTATTTTACGTAGCTCAGCAATAATTTGCATATGATTTCTTATCTCTGCAACCTTTTGCACAGCTTGTTTAATTATATTTTTTTCCCACTGCATTTTCCTGATTGGAATTTGCTGGGACTCTACTGACAAAGTTCATTTACAGTATAAAACAGCAAGTTTAACAGCACACATCAGTTTCAACAAACACATTTTGACTGAAGTTATTTGGTTCTTGTGCTTCTAGGAAAACCTAGATTTCAAAAGTTGAAAATTCTGAGTCCAATATTTCATCTGAGCCAAAGTCTGTGAGGAACCTCTCTTGGAGTAGTGGGTTCCACCCATTCTGGGAGACAGAGCTCTCACAGAAGTCCCCAGACATTAGGTGTGAGCAAAGATGATTTCTACCATCAAGGAATCTGCATAGTTACCCAGTGTTCATACACTTTTACCAGCTGATTCAGCACTGCTTGACTGTTGGCAGGAGCACAGTCAAAATTTAATGACTTTTCTACTCTGCTGCCAAGGCTGAGCCCCTTGGAGTGCCACAGTCACTGCTGCACACAGGGGTGCAATAATCACAGCCATCCCATGAGCAGCAACATTTTCTGTTTACATTAACTGCTTTCAAGCTTGAAGAATGTGAGTAGGGTCAATAACATGGAGGAGGACAGATGGCCTATAGCTGATTTGTTATAATAATCATCTGATAATATATAATCTGGGTAATCCAATAAAGTAATCATGTCATATTAGAGGTTAATAATCTCTAAAAATCAATTAATTTCTCTGGAAAATTCATCCAATTATGGACCTTCTAGGACATAAGCATCCAGGATTTCAATGCATTTGGACTCAATTCCTGGATAACCCCTAAGGATTACTCACTTAAATAATCCTGATTTACTTCTCTCTTGATTTCCAATTACCTTTCTTCTTCAGAGGTAGTCATAGTCACACTGGTGTGTTTTAGGGTCTTGTATTTCAGGAAAATGGCACAACTGCTGTGCTGTGATCCACAGGTCTTTAAGAAGGACAGGAAAAGAGGACAAAAAGAGGAGTGGATTTGCACTCCATGAGAAGAGATTCAAATAAATTACACCCTGTTATCGATTAGACAATGGGTGAGCCAAAAGCTTTATGGGTAAGATCAGAGAGAAGACCAACAGAGACATCTGCTGTAGACCATCCCATGGAGAAAAGGTGGTGGGCAAGCCTTCTTTAAACAGTCTGAGTAAACATCAGGATCATGTCCCCTGGCTCTCACAAGGACTTTAATCCTCCTTGAGGTATCTTGGAAAAGTAACTTGCAGCACTTCAAGCAACTCAAGAGGTTTCTGGAGTGCTTTGAGGTCAAAAATCAATTTTTTTGGAAGCAGATGCTGGACTGGCCAGACAGGGAAAGTGCTCTGCTGGATATTCTACCATAAATAATGGTCTCATAAATAAGTAGAGCCTGTAGGTGCATTGACTGCAGCAACCTGAAATGGGGGTTGTAGGGTCTGAGGAAAGAGAAGAAGAAGGCAAGTAGCAGAATAAAGACTTAGATTCTATGACATTAAAAGATATTCTAAAGCATTCAATTTCCCAAGAAAAGGCTTCAAGAAATGAGTAGATGAGATCTCGTTGCAGACAACCCTGAAGAGCAAAAATATCAAGAGTTTAACTAATATTCAGGAGCAACTTCTTCAATGATGTTTGGTCTATCATATCATGTGGAAAACCAAGAAAACTCTGCAAAAAAATAGTATGTATGAAAAAGAATACATTCTGATTGAGCTAAAATTGAAAAAAGAAAAAAAAACCCAAAAAGTGGAAACATGGATAGGCTACCAAGGAGGAATAGGAGCCATTGCTCAAACAGGAAGTGCAGGAGTTGGGAAAGCTGAGGCCGGATGAGAAGATATGGATGTGAAGGGTTTTACGCAGGAACAACAAAAGGAAGACAACTGAAAATGTGACTTTACTGCTGAGTGTGGTACTGTATAAAAAAGGATGTGACAAAGGCTGAGCAAATCCATTCCTTGGTCTTTACTGGCAAGGCCAGCTCTCAAGATTTCTGTATCTTCCTGTTTAGTGACAGAATTTGGTGAAAGCAGCAGGTGTAGGAACAACCAAGCTGGGCTCCACTTAATCCCTCTGGGCACACAGAAATCTGTGGAACAAGGCAGTGTCTTGAGGATGCCAAGGAAGCTGAGGTGACTGTAAGAGTGCTATCAGCTCTGAAAGGTGACAGAGGCAGCTCCCAGTCTCTGAGAACAAAAGCAAATATTAGTCCATATTCAAAAATAGAGGAAGGCTCAAGAAGACCACAGTCCAGTCTGCATTATCCTATCTCCAGGCAGGCTATGCACTAAACACTCCTGGAAGACATTTCCAAGCACATATGTTTGCAAGCAACCAATACAAATTTTCTAAGGATCTGAACAAACTAACTGCTCTCTATGACTGTTCCTGTGCAAAATTAGAGCACAGTGCTTTTTCTTCCATCTCTTTATCACATTTTTTCCATTTTTTCCATTTTTTTTCATAGAGGCTTTGTAGCTCAGTTGTAGAGATAAATGGATGAGTGATTAAAAACTGAATGGGCCTTTAAAATCAAAGCTAGTGAATAAAAAATGCCCAAGCAAGCAGTCTGTAGGAGTGATGCAGGTTGGGATCATGGCAGGGACTGATGTCATTAATTTCCATCAGTGGCATGGACAATAGACTATATAAACTGAAATTAGATGTTGCCACAGCACCAAACAGGGGAAGGGCAAAGCTGCTGCTAAGAGGGACTTTGGCAGATGGAAGGAATAGGCCATTAAAATCCACATAATGTCCAACAGAGTAGCAGAAGGCAAAAGCACAGGCTTTAACTTGTGCCAGCTCATGAGTTGAAAACCTAGAGACTGCATCTGCAGGAGAGGAACTGGATGTCCTGATGGAGCAGGACAAAGACAGTGCTGTAGCCTTGCAGGCGATGCAAGTTAACTGCACTGGCAAGAGTGTGGCCAGCAGAGCATTCAAAGTGATCCTGACCCTTCCACGTGGCATAATGGTGTCCTATCTGCAGGACTGTGCCAGCTTGTGGGGACACTAGTGATAGGAATATTTACAAACTAAAGAGAACGCAGAGGAGGACTGAAAGGGGTAAGGGGCAGGAGGAAGCAAAAGGCTGAGAGCACCAGGTTTCTGCAGCCTGAGTGGTGGATCCCATAGCTGCCTTCTGCTACATAACAAGAGGGTTATAGAGAAGATGAAGCCACAGGTGCACTGCAAAATGACAATAGGCAGATGCCCAGTTGCAGCAAGAGAAATTCCAATTGGATTTGTGAGGTGGGGGGGAAGAAATTAACAGGCTGCTCAGGTGTGTTGTGGAATCTTCTTTCTTCAAGATTTTCATGTGCTACTGGAGAAACTGAGCAACCTGTTCAGACTTTGAATATGGCCCAGATGTGAGCAGAAGGTAGGACCAGATAGCATTCAGGGGTGCCATCCAACCTGAATGATTCTGAAATTCTAGACTATCCAGTACAATCTGTGTATTGTATATTTGGATGGCTTAGCTATGCTAAAGCAAAAATTGTTAATTTATTCTGACCTATTGCTGAGTGCTTATAATTTTAGAGTGTTTATAATTTATCTAGAGTGTCTCAGAAGTATTTATTTTTATGGAATAATAAAATTCATTTACTTTTTTCCTTAATGTAAATTATCCAAACAAGGTGGAGCACAGCAAATGTTATTTTTACTGTGAAAGAACTTTGATACTGGACTTTCCCCTGTGAGAGAGGTTTAAATCCCTTGACATTTAGCTCAGTTTCCTCTTTGCTTTACACCTGTGCAACAACATTTCCCTGAAGTCACAGACCTATTATAAGAATGAACATGTCAGTTTCTTAATTACACCCATGGAGCAGTGACATCTTGACAGTTTCTTTCTTTGTCACTGAACTTTACTTGAGATCACCTCAAGGTTACCAGTGCAGTAGCAGTGGCTGAATAGGGAAAAGTCCTGCACCATTCAGGTCCCCAGAGTTCAAAGGGTGTTGGCTGAATTGGTGACTTCTAAATTGGTGACTTCCAAATCCATTTAGGTTTCAAGGTCCTGGGTTGTTTGGTATATGTACTATTTCTTCAGATGACTGAGTCACCTGACTCAATGTGACTGGAAATGAAGATCCATTCAGGAGGACACACCTCGTGTTCTTTGGTCTTTTTTGCTCACTTACCACTGACTAGTGCTTGTATAATGACCAATATGAGTTGTGCATCATTCAACTACCATTTGGGCCAGGGGTAGTTATTTGGGTATTTTTAGCAGTTGTATTTCTAAAGGAAAATTAGGTTTGCGCAGTAGATCTGTACTGTCATTTGAGTATTTTTTTTCCTAAATATTCAGCAGCTACAGCTTTTTCTTACAGTTGTTATAAGAGGTAAAAGCCCAAGTGGGTGGGTGTAATAATGCAAACAAAACCAAATAACTCAGAGCTGCAAAACTGAAATTCAGCAAGAGAGAGACAAAACCAAAATATGACCATATGGAAACTCTGCAATGTTGGGAATGTTTGTTTCTTTAATTCCGAGAGGGAAAAGGCAAAGATTTGTAAAAAACCTTGATGAAAATATACAATAAGCAGCAAAGTAAATCACTGTAATAATTCTACATACACTTTATTAAAAAAGAACACTTCCTGAAAATATGTATGAGCTTGAAAAACATTGTTTGTGGAAAATTTTGCAAATACCTCAAGTTACTTAAATATACTGCTGCTCTTAGGTTGAAATACATAAAACCCATGGAATGGATTGAACCTATACCTATACATCCAAATTTATCTCTTAAATTAGTTTGATTATCACAACACCCTATAAGAGACTGTAAAAGCCTACCAGCATGGGCAGATCCTCTGGCATTCTTTAAAAGTGGAGCTCTTTCATCCACAAATTTAACTGACCTTCTTGCCCTCTGCCTTTCAGAAACTGCAGCTACAAATGCCATCTGTATTAGCAATATAATGCACTGAATGACAGTTTGATCCTTTATCTGAGCTATTAGAACAAAGAATAAGTGGTTATTAAAATTATGACTGACTTTAGGGGTCAGCAATACTTGACATTTATGTGAGACTTATTCTCAGAGAGCAGAAATAAACTCCATAGGCAAATGCCAAGTACAAGCTCACCCTCCACTGGTCATGGCTAATAACCTGCCCGTCACACCAGAGGACAAAAGGTGCTGCACAATAGAGCAGCCAGGCACCAGAGATTTCCCAGGAAGCTTCACACAGCAGTGCTAGGCAGATCTGTGAGAAAGAGAGCTGATGTTACATTCCAGTACATATTAACAAGCTGCTGGGCCTGAAGTGCTGAGTCCTGACTCCATTTGACAAACACATCTCCTGCAGAATCCAGCAGGAGCTCAGCAGGGTCAGTCTGTGGCGCAAACAGGAGGGCTGGTCAGCAGGACAGCTATTTAAAAGTGATCACACTCAGCGGCTTTGCTGCAGTCTTCCTCTTTCGCCTTCATCATTTTGGAGTTCACAAGGTCATTTCACTAATTATAGTGTCAATCCATTTATCCATGAAACATTTGTAGACTGAGATGCCCTTTTGGATACAAGGATTATGGTTACAATTGCAGAAGATTCAATGATTGCAAGCAAGTTAAGAGGAAGGAAGAAGGAAGAGGAAATCAAGCAGAGATCCCTGTTTGTTTCTTTATTTGCTTACACTAAACTATTTCTATTACACAATGTAGAAAGAAAATTATTTGCAAATATTTCCATTCTGCAGTCTGTTTTTCTACAGCTGTAATTACCTAAGGACATAGGCACAGTAACTTCTGTAAGGAGGGGCAATATTCCCTGTCAGCTGGTAGAGAGTCTAATTTTCTAGCTAAACTGATTGATCCAGTAAAGGATTCTACCTCTACAAACTTTGTCACAGGAAATTTACTGATGATATTTAATGATTAGATTTTTTTCTAATAACCTCCATGCCAAAATCTCGCTTGTGATTTCTCAGCAGGAGAGGTAAAGAAGTAGACTTAACTTCCTTTCTTTTCATTTTGCTTCTGGGCTAAGACATGCTACTCATTGCTTTAATTTTTTCCTAGAATCATTCTTTGTGTTTCACCAAGGATGCCCTAGGATATCCAGATCCCCCTGGAAAAGTTTGGCAGATCAGCCTCTCCTGTCTGCAATGCTTCACCTCTAGCACCAGGCACCAATGTTCAGCTGGGACAAAATGTACATTCCACATCACATTTACCATAGTTCTACCCTGGACTTTTGCCAGAGTAAATAAGTAACATGCATCTGCCATAATCAAAGGTAAAAACAATAGTATGTTCAGGAAGTCAACCAAAAAAAAAACCAACCAAACAAACAAACAAACAAAACTCCTTGAGAGAATACAAATAGGAGTTAAAAGATAAATCCTGTCAGTCCCAGAGCCTCCACATTACTAGGGCAGTTGCCTGCTACAGTAGAGGTGATAAAGCTGAAAGAGACTTGAAGGCCTCAAAATCAACTACAAACAGAATCAGAAAAATATGGCATGTGGAAAGAAAAACTTTATTAATCTACCCAAAAGAGAAGTCTTGGATAGGCCGCTGAAAACAGGACCATGCAGTACTGAGTGGCTAGAAGGAAAGTATTTCGTCTGCCCACTAAAATACAAATAAATCTCCAAGTCTATCCATGGCTCAGCCACACCATGACAGGCTGGTTGAGTTTTCTGCCTCCAGCCACCAGCAGCCAGCACTGCAAAGCTCTTTCCTGATGGCCATTGTCCTTTTTCCATTGCTGCTCCCTCAGGTTCAGATAACTGTCTATTTTTGGAGAAGCAAAGCTCCAGGCCAAGAACTAAAAGTCTTAGTAAAGGTCAGCTGTTGATTGTACGCTTCTAATACAAGACCTTTGTTCAAGCAACAAAACATTTAAATCCCTCTTGCCTCATGTGTCCTGTGTGTTGAAGAATCCCTAAATTTAAATTTAAAAATGAAAGCATAATCATTACATTAAGAGTAATTAATGTATTCCATCCCTTTATCACAAAAGTGTGCTTTCCAGGTGGTGAGGTTTTTTCAGCTAATTTAATGTCCTATTAAGAGCATTTAAAGGAAGGATTAAAATGATAGTGAAAATGGGGAAATATCAGATGTAACACCAAAACTTTTGAATACAAAGATTTATAGTCTAAAGTTTTAAATAATTGTTCAAATTTATAAGAGGCTGTTCAAAGCTGTAATTGAAAACTTCTGGAAATATTCATTATATGACCCATAACAATCATGGTAAGACTTGTAAAAGTTATTAGAGTTGTCAGTTCAGCACATAAAAGTCAAGCCAATGTCACAGATATATCTCTTCTGTGTATATCACTATTGGCAAATTTAATTTAGGAATTTATAGGAATGCACTAGGAATTTGATGATTTGTTTTACCTATCTCTAGAAATGTCATTCATGTAAGTGTCAGCAGCTACTAAAATGGAAATTATTAAAGAGAGAACAGCTGCAACAGTCACCTCCCTATATCTCTCTTTCAGACCTTCAGTTTGGAAGGTCTGGCTTTCATCCTGTCTTTCCTCATTGCTTTATATAAGGCTATGTTCAAACTGGGAAAATTAGAAATCATCTCTAAGTCAAACAGTGTCTGAAATCTGTCCACAAATCGGTTCTCATTCTCCAGCCTAAACTTCATGGCCCACAGAATAACAGTATCATTCTTACACAAGTGATCAAAAGTTAGGAGGAGTTCATCCAGGAATGGATGGTAGTAAACTACATCAGCAGCCATAATGTAGTCAAAGTGACAGGAAGACCTAGGAAAGTTCTTTTCCAGATCAATTCCCCAGGACAACTCCTTGACACAAGGCTGGTGTTTGCATTTCTGCTTTGTATTTTGGAGAATGTTGTACTCAAGGTTTCCCAGTAGTTCTGGCAAATCTGTGGCAGTCACAAAGGCACCTGTGACACAGAGAAAACAAATACAGTATTTGAATATACATCAATACTTGAGCAAAAGCCCATTCACAAAAGCTACTGCACAAGGAATTGATTTTATCAGGTAACTCTCACTGAGGGCAATAAAAAAAATGCAGATGTTCCCAATAACTCTTAAATATTGTGCTTAAAGTAAATATTTTCTTCCTTGTAGTTCTACTCTACAGATTGCCATCTAAATGCAGCTGGTGGGGAGAAATCAGATACTTACGGTATCTTGATATCATCACATTGGTTAAAAGTACAGTGGCTGACCAGGGATTGATGAATACCCATTACTGAATCCAAGAAGTGGGCATAAAATTTAAGCATTACCTCAGGTTCTTCCCTTCTCACACAAGAAGAAGCTTTCTCAGACTAACAAAAGCTAAAGTTCTGTTAAAATGCAGAACCCACTGACCTGGATTACTCTTGGAGATGAATAGGATGCCATGAGAGAAAACACAACAATGTCTGTAGCAGAGAGATCAAGTTGCTGAAGGAAAATACTGAAACACAAACGGATAGAATTGGATGGAAGGTGACCTGGCATCCAAGAGCTGTTTGGTCAAAGGAAGGCAATGCACTGGTCTTACCTACATCTGGCTCAGTCAACTTGCCACTGATACCCTGAAAAGCCACTAATTTTTTATTTTGATCCCCAGTTTAGCACGGTTAATGACAACGTATCTACTGTGACCTCCTTTATTGTATCAATACACTCCCAGAAAAAAAAAAAAAAAAAAAAAAAAAACCCACCAAAGCATGTTTCCAAACAAGCCTTTTAGAATTTACTGTTTCTTGCTCTTGGAAACTTTCAAACAACAGTCTCTTAGAAGAACCAAGCCACATAATTTGTCCTCCATTATTCATCTGAGAGGTGTTTCCAAGAGCTTAAGAAAGATAATCACATACTCACCCAGCAAACTGGCTACTATGGAGACCAAGCCAGTTCCAGCTCCAATTTCAATCACATTTTTGTCAACCAAATTGCATTGTTTAGAATGAGTTTCCAAAAAATAACACAGAACAAGAGCCTGTAGGGGAGGAAATCCATGAACATACTGAACAAAATAATGAACTAAATCCCTTTACTAAATATCAATTGTCATTTAAAAGCATGCAAAAAATTTGTTATCTGTTCAAATGAGCAATATTCATACAAGTACTATCCCTAAAGGACCACAGCTCACCATGATCTTTGGGATCTATAGGTCACAAAATAAATGCTACAAAATAAGTCTGTGAATTATTACAGACAGAAGGAGCAACTACAATTAGATAATCTGTCACAACACATGACATGAGTTGCAAAATTCTGGTCACCAATTCCTGCTTATAACTGGACTTACTTCTGAGATAAAATATTTCCTCCACAAAAATTTCCTCCTTGTTAAGTTCTTCCAATAGTCAATTATTTCTGGCAATAATTAATTGTTAAGGTTCAAAAGAGACAAATAGATTTACCCCCTTTTCTTTTGGCTCAGTTTGTTTGCAGTTTCTATTTGCTTATCTGGTTAAGCTTAGCAAACTTTCATAGTAAATACAGACACAAAGAGCATCTACAAGAGACTCCTTACACATGTATATATAAAGTGATTAACTGATCAGTTAAAGTGATTAAAAAAATCTTCTTCAGCTTTTCTGCCCTATCTCACACTGACTAGTGTGTTTTAGCTCACTGGTGAAATAGAAATTGCTAATTTTATTTCTCTCATAAAGATAGCTTCCATATAATAGAAATTGCTAATTTTATTTCTCTCATAAAGATAGCGTCCATATTTATATCCACATCTTTATCAGACTTTGATAGATATACAATCTCCATTGACAAATGAGATGATTGCTATATCCTCTCAGAATACAGATCACCATTTGGAAAGGCAATCATTAGCGGCCTGCTCTGGCACAGCAAAATTAATTTTGCTTTTAAGTAATAATGAATGAGAAGGAAAGGAGCAGGAGGACTGCTGGCCCAGTGTTAGCATGCTAGAAAGTAAAACAGAGGGGTTTTTTCGTACCTCTTAATTCAGAGCACAGAAGAAAAGGTAATCCAAACTTATATATATCATTTAATCAACAGCACTGATATAGAAATCAGTCTGTGAGAACCAGGAATAATTTAAGTCAGGTTCCTAAAGACTGGATCTGATATTTGACATTATATTGACATTATATTCGACCTTACATTAGGATTTTCTCCTAGTTACATTAATTCCTATAATTCCTTCCCTCAGGGTTTTGCCGTATTCTATTGTAGAAACTGGCTGACATAATCAAAGTTTCTGAAGGTTAAATCAGGGAAACTTTGAAATCTGCATTCCTTTCCATGAAACATGCAGAAACTTTACTTTCCTTAAAGTTTCTGCACTCTTGAAAAATTTGGCTGCCATTTTTCAGAAGATTTCAAGTACTGCTAGATGGAAGTGGAAGGGAGAACACCAAGAGACAGAGATCAAAGGATTGTCTTCCTTCCACAACAAAATTGGCTAAACCAATGTGTTTTTGGCTTAGCCAATTTTGTTGTGGAAGGAAGCCAAAAATATTGGCTAAGCCAATATGTTTTTCAGTAAAGTCCAAATCATGGACTTCACTGAAAAACATTTTTTTTTCCAGAAAAAAAAATGTTTTTCAGTAAAGTCCATGATTTTGTGCGAATAATTAGTAGTCAGCCAAACTTTCCATGAAGACATACACAGAGGTCACCAAAACATATAGTACAGATGACTGGTCCAGGTCTCCTAAAACCAGGAATATCATTTGGACTTCAAAGCAGAAGAGTAAGACAACTATTCTCAGCTGTTCTGAAAAACAGTATGATCCTAGGAGGCTGAGGCAGTTGTGAAAGAAATGGAACATCCTGGGTCTCTCCTTTAGGGACAAAAATTTCATCATGTATCATGGCACCTCCCTGGAGATTTCTTTCAGTCTTAATTACTTCAAAACAGTAAGTTTGCTGCATTGCACATATTCAAAACCTGAAGAAGAATACTTGTATGGTGAATGTGTTGATGGTTCTTATATCAAGAGCCAAGGACAATGGCTCTCTCCAACTAGATTTCCAGCTGTTTAAGAAACTGAGTGCTGCAGCTGAACATTTTCCCATGTCTATGTATTAACAAGGTAAATTTGTTCCTTACATGAGAAGGTTGAATAGCTTCTATGAGTGATAACACCTTGTGAGCTTGCATCACAGCTGTTTTTGCAGCCTGGATCTGCCTGCTACACAGCCATCTGTATTCATAAAATGTACAGAAATGCAATCATCATAAAACTGCCATCTTTGTTTCAAAATATGCTTGTAATTGGCTAATAGGATTAAAAGCTACTGGCAAGCAAGAAGGGCACACAGGATCATACACCTTGGGTGATTAGGGCATGCACAAGAAATACCAAGTAAGCTTTGAGAAACATAAATCCACAAAGAAAAACAGGTTAAATTCAGTTTTGGGATTTGCAGAACAGAGACAGAGAAACACAGAATTATTTCCTTGGGTTTATAACATTAAAAAAAAGTATATTTATTATACCAAACAAGTCTTAAAATGCTAGATGGCTCCAAAAATGAAAAATAACTATACTACAAAAATATTGTACCGATGGCCAGACGACTGCCCCGTAGCAATCAGTGGCTTCTGTAATTCTTATCTCATGGCCAGCAAAGTGAAAGCCTTCCCAGGTCTTATAAGCTATATGGTCAGGAAAGAAACGCCTCTCCATGATTTCTGCAACTATCTGTTCATCTTCTTTTTCCCCTGGAAGCAGAAGTATAAAAGGTCAAAGAGGCTAAGAGGACTGATAATAAAACTATCAATTCATATTGAAAAGCCGATTTGGAAGCAAGAATATAAATTACATCCGTGAATAAAATACATTTCACCATTAATGGTTAGCATGGCACACAGATATTCTGAATTCTAATTGAAATTTTCAGTGTGTGACTAAATAACTTCTTTCATGTCTCACTGAAGCAGCCAAGTTCATACAAAGTAAAGAAGGGGAATGTTAGCATACATTGTTTTCCATTTCATCAACCCAAAGGAAATTTTTAAACTTTTTTCCTTCAAGAACAGCTGCTCTAGTAAAGACACTCACAGCCTTATGCACCTGGATTTTTCATTATTCTCCATATCCTTTTATTGTTCACTTTCCCCATATTCTGGTTCTTTCTGACAGTAAACAAAAGGAGCCAGAATATCATTTATAAGTCTGCCACAAAACTTGTGAAACAGACCCTAGCAACACAAATGATGACAGACAGGAGTGAAAGCACTCGTGTTGTCAGGAAAGCTTATCCACCCACCCCAACAGCGCCCTGTCAGAGGGATTCTTTCCACTTGGCTTGATATCCTGAATGCCATCCTTGTTGCTAAGCAAAGAATATTTATGATAGCTAACAAAATCCTGGATAACTGTTCTAACAGAAGAGGATTCATTCCTTTTTAGAGGAATACCAAGCTAGTTTCTGTTTTGCCATCATCACACAAAACTGCACCACAATGTCAGAAAACATCATGTAAGTGAAACTATCTTGAGCATTTTCTTAGCAAAGTCTAGAATCCTTCCAAGTTTTCATGGGAATTTTGCTTTCGTATCCAACTATGGTCTGTTAGCAAACCAGTGAAAGAAAAACATGTTTACAAGCTACACCTAGAAAGCATACTAGAGATTTAGATAACTCAGTTACCACCTTGTCCAAAGCAGAGTTTCTGTATCAAGCCTACAGCTCCCATCAAAATCACAGATATTAACTTTGGGATCTGCTGGCTCTGGAAAATGAAACCATTTATGCTTTCATCACCATCAACATAACAGACTTTCAACAAACCATCAACATAAAAGACTTTGCTCTATTGAGATTCTTCACTTTTTCTTCCCCCTTGAATCATTGTGGTCACAAGGAACATAAAGACCCCAAGTGTTGTCGTTTATATTACCATATACCTCAGTATTTTTATTATGATAATTATGGACAAAGTCTCTCTTCCTTCCTTGTTTCAAGGAATAAAAGCAGGGGTGAAGACAGAAAAAGATTATACCACACAAAAATACATCATGAAGTTGCTCAAACCTATTAGCCAGTGCTTTAAGCTCGTAACTCAAATTTCAGCATCACAGGAAAATAGAGAATAACATCAAACAAGGAAGAAAACCAAAAAATATTTGAATTTATGTTGACATTAAGCCACAAAAACACAATAAAAGCTGACTAACCAACCACAGTACTTGTAGAATCTATTGCAGGGGAGAAGAACCCCAATCAGAGGATACAGCAAAATTAAAAACAATATGATGCATATATTGCTAGGAAAAAAAGTTTTCATAAATTTGATTAGTATAAATAAAATAAAATGCCCAACATTGAAACTATGGTATTTTAAGATGTTGGAAAACAAGCAGTATGTGTCAGCCTCTTCAAGCCTCTGATGTTAATCTGGGAGAAAACACATGCATCACTGTGCCTGTAATCAGGGAGCTCTTGACAAACATGAGCTAAGTGCCAGGGAAATGCTGCTTCAGGGCAAAATTAATCTTCCTCTTATGAAAGAAATAATAAAAAGCTGTCTTATTACACATATCATAAGTATATTTAATAGATCATCCTGTTTCCAAGCATACCAGATATAGCCTGCTTTTAATCTTCTCCCACTGCTTAGAGCAGTCTGATCGTGTTCTGTGATCATTACTATCTGTGGAAGTAAAAGCTATGCTTTCTATTACATTTCAATTACAACCATTTTTCTTGATTTTCCTCCCTTGACATCTGTTTTGGATCCAATTTTGTTGAGAAGCTGGTAACTTATTAGGTCTTAACTTATAAAGCTCCTGCGAGAAGATCTATAAAACTTTAGCAGTGTTACAACTGCCCCTCTAGCACTCAATAAACATTCCCCACCTATTCCCTACAGGATCAGCAAACTTCCTACTTCAGGTTTGCATAGCACCTACACTAACAGAGTTTGTAAGCCCCTGCTCTCTTCCTGAGCATTGTCTGTACCCCTGAAAGAATAATCCCAAATCTGCTGATCAATAACACTGCTTGAATTTTTGAATTTTTGCCCATCTTATCCTTTTGGTAATCTTCCAGGTGGCTTATCCGGAGAAGCTTACACTTTTTTTTTTCCTTTAAGAAAGCACTACTGTTTTGAAGAATCAAGAATAATATCTGTTTCATCAGAGTTACCATATGTTAGACAAGGCCCAAAGGAGAAACTTTCTCAGAACCAGGACATTAATGATCCTCACAAAGAGTGCTGAAGAATAAGGAGTGCAGAGTTTTAGTCAGATTCACTTATTTTGTACAAGTTTCCCTTTGAACAGCAAGAAGCACTCCTCTGCTGCTTCTTATCTTTCAGAACAATTTCTTGTGGGAGTGCACAAAAGCAAATAAGTTATTTCTTCTGTAACTGCCCTCAAAGCACTGAGAATAGAAAAACAAAGAACTAGTGGGAAATCTTTCAAGTGACACAAAAATTGCTGCAAGGGTAAGTAAAATCCAAGTGAGATAAACTCTTAATATCTGAAGACATCAAGGGAATTTTGCTGGTACTTTGATCAAACTAGTTCCTTGATAACAGGTGTAAAAAGCTGAAAGGGAGTTATTCTCCTGCAAGTGTTTACTTCTGAGTTAGTGAATATTCTCTTGTTCAGAAAAAAAAAGCCCTGAACTTTTGAGTCAATGAACGGACTCTAATGACATTTTAAACAAAAAGAGATTACCCATCAGTAGAATAGAGTAGGATAAGAGAAGAGCAGGCTTGACTGATCTGGCTATCAGTTCTTGTAAGGATGGAAGTGCATAACGGGCATTTCCAGCAATACTACTGGAGCACAGATACTGAACCATCAAAATTGAAAAGTCTGCCAGGATTGGTTCCTCTCTTCTCCACAGAGCCAGAAGAAGACAAACACACAGATTGTGATTGACAAGATAGGTTTGCCCTTACCCTCTTCTTTGATGTGGAGAAGTGTGGAAATGATAAACACACAGAATTATTTTCTTCAGCCTATTCACCTGTTTGCATGAGCAAACATAAAAGCCACTAGAGCTTCTAGTGCCAGAACCTTATTTACAGTAAGATGAGGCAGTTTCATCCAGTCAAGGTAATATACAGAACTTGAGATAATTCTTCTTACTGAAACAGAGATCTCCTTTGTCTTGAAGTTGTGTACAAAAAGTTACCTCTATTGTGCCCCAAATCCTTCAAGAATATCTTCAAGTCTCTTAAGACTAATCCAATAGGCTAATTACTTACAGTGTTCTTTGGAATATTTTAGATAAAACATTGCTTATTATATAAGTTTAACATCTTTTGATAGTGTTCTATGAGCTCCCTTGACTTTTCATTAATATCAGGACTGAGGGAAAACCTCATGCACTGTTGACACATCTTGCACTGAATCAACTATTTCAAATAGCCTAAATATTATTTTCAAAGGCAAAGCAACTGAAATACAAACGAAGTTTTCCAAACAGATGTACTAATCATGTGGAAAACTGGAGTTGTGATGTCAGTGACAGGTTAGTTAGAGAAATGTGTGTCAAGCTGCAAAATCCTGTGTAGGAAACCAGAGGATTCTGCTTACACATTGACACGTCATGTTAAACAAATGTTAAAATGCTATGTGTGAGAAAAAAAACTAAAGAAACAAAATTATGTGAGTTCTGCTAAGAGAAAGCTGAAGTCCTTCAACTAGGGAAGGGAAGGTAGAAAGAAAATAACAGGAAACAGACCAGATCAGAACAGAAAAAATTGCAAACTGCAGAATCTTTTTTCTATAAAATTAAGGCAATCTTTATGTGCTCAATTTTGCATAGAATTAGTAGAAATATTAACTGTTTAGAAACAAGATACATGATCAGCTATTCACACCACTTGTCACATAAAATCTAGATACCTGAACTAAAACATAGCTAAAAAAGTAAAAGGATGCTTCCACCATGAAAGCTATGAAGAATATACTAGCACTCAATATCTCCATTTTAAGACTCATTCACAAAAAACACACAGAGTAACAAAACATACTCCAAATACTTTGCTAGTAGATTCGAAGAAGGATTCATTCAGAAAAAAAAATATTTTCACCCATTGATTCATGGGAACAGCCTACAGGGAAGAGAAAAATATATTAGTCTCTTTCTAGTGTTGGCCTGAATCTGCCTAATCCCAAGAGGTCAAATGGTGTCACAGCCCAATGTCACAAGGAAATAAGATCCAGTCATCTGCTTCTCGCCTGCTTTGATGGATTTTCTCCAACTGGCAAAAGGAATGAAATCCAAGACTTCAGCATGAACTTGACCTGATAAAGCTCAGCCCTACAGCAACCTATTCTCCCATCTTCAGAAAGAGTATACTCTCACCTGTAGAGTTTAGATTTAAAGTTCACATTTTAGACTTGTCTTACAAATATTTTAATAGCATGCATCAACAGCTGTGAAGATGATTCCTCTATGACTTCAAGCAATTGAGAAGTCAGTCCTCTGGAAAGGAGGACTACTTGTGCTGATATTAGTGATTGAGTGTCGCTAGAGAGTTTCCAAGAGATTCCAAGAATTCATAACATCCAGGACTCTTCAGATCACCCCCCACTCTGGACACACAGGAGTGGAGTCATCCAAACTAAATATTTAAAGATGCATTTTATTTATATAATGTGGAAATAATATATATAATACATATTGTTTATATTAAAAATATATTGTCCCTATCTATATATCCCAAAGTCAAGAGGATACCTGCAAAAAGATCAGTAAGGGAACAAACCTGCAACTAGTTCTGTGACTGTAAGACATGACTGGAGAAGAGTGAGATTACTCCACTTACAGAAATTATCCAAAGGTATCCCAATAAATCCATATGGGGATTTCCAATGTCTCACACCAAATTTTTCCTGAAACTACATAAAGGGCACAATAGTAAGGGACTTTGTAGACTTGGAAGTTTTGCTGAGTTACTGTCATGTCAGGATCAGAGCCCTAGTCCTACAAGCACTACAGATGGCTCCATGGAAACATACACAGTCCTGAATCACAATGAAGTCCCTACATTTCAGGCAGCGTCACTTTAGTATCTTTATTTCATTCCACTTATTTCTATTTTATTCAATTTCAGCCTAAGGGCTCTCACAGAAAGGTGTTAGGAGGGAAAGCTACTCGTGCTCTTGACTTCACAGAAGTCAGATGTAAACTACACCTTTCTAAGAATATAAAGCAAAGTACCATTCCAGTATGTCTAAACTGCAAAGTTATTTTTTCCTTACTTCATCCCTACCTACAAAAAGGAATATCATCACGTAAGCGCAGGCATTCCACTACATTCATTACAAGCCCTGTCTGCTGAAGGGATGGCAGTGAAGGGTGTATTGTATCGATTAATCTGAGATGTCATGTCAGGGTAACAAAATGTTTGAAACTTTATACTTTGAAATGCAGAAATACAAAACTGCAACCCACAGGCAGACCCTTCTCAGCCAAAAGACAAGATGCACTTAGCCCAGAGCGCGAGGACACAAGAACAAGAGAAGGGTTTGCTCACAGTATCCAGCCAATGTATTTATCCAGGTTTGAGAGCTGTGTTTTCAGTTTCAAATTTACAACACTGATATCCCAGCCCTATCCAAGTCAAAGGTCATCTAAAAACCATTAAATGGCTGAAAATAGAAGTACTGTAGTCATTTTATCTCATGAACACATAATGAATTCAAGTTTGCCAAGTACAATTGCCAAGTACTTCCCTTGTTACTTCATTATGTTTGTCTGCCATTGAAAACATCTCCAAGTCTAGGCTCGGAAGCTATTTACTTTCTAAAAATAACTAAATTATGCCCCTTTGACTGCAAAGTAGACTCTGTTATTAAATTAGATGGTCTAATATACATTATAAAAGGCAGCTAACTTCCTGACAGATAGGAAGTGACCTTAAAAACGCTATCAGTATTCAGCTACCAATAATTCTCGATTTCTAAAATATTCCTTTGCATAAAGGACCTGAACACCAACCCATGCAGTCATACCACTTTTCTTATGTGGAAGTTGAGATATATTATTTATTGTCAAAATGCAGCTACTGCAAAGACTAAAGAAATGAAAATGGAAAGTTGGGCACATGGTTGAGAGGGAAGAATAAGTTACTGACTACCCCACAAAGGTCATATATGCTTTGATTATTTGAGTGTTGCCTCCAACTTCTGTTCTGTCCATACACAAGAAGTTTTCATTTGAGTTTAGCAATATCTTAAGCTGTCTACTTATTGAGGGGAGAGAAAGGCAACAGGGAAGTGTTAAATTAATAAGATGAGCCAGCAGGAAACCAGGATTGCAAGAATCATGCTAGAAGGATAAAAGCAAGGAAAAGTCCAACTACAAATCAGGCACTCAGTTGTGAAGAGGCAGATTTGGGGTCCATACTCAGGCCCCAGGATGTTTTTCACATTTTATAACAAAGTCTGTGAAGTCAGTGAAAAAGCATCAGTGCAGAAGAGAATGAGAGAGAAGTATCTCTAGAAGTAACCCAGGAAATATAAATGAGGTGCTACATCACTACCTCCTCCCAGTTGAATTATCTTCAATTGTAAATTACAGGGTTAGGATGCTTTTCACTTGGCTCCATTCCAAGTATGTCCCATTTAAGGCACCGCTCTGGACTCCACCAAGATGCTTGAAATGATGGCAGGAATTGCCTTCAATTGGGACATCTGTCAGGCAGGGCAAGTGGAAGGAGTGTGTCCCTTCTAAAATGTCAGGATCTACGAGAAGGTTACTAGGTCAGCATTTTCTCACATATTTATGGATTAAAAACTGAGCCATGGCTGAGTGAAGTGAGACGATGGACTGTCAAGGACAAGTACACCTGGCAAACTTGTTCTTTTGTCTCAGAGATAAAATTATTCTGGGGTGAATTTACATAATGCAACTAGGGTAAAGTAATTTAGTTTCCCAAGAAATTAAGACAGGAGTGGTAGCATCTGGTCTCAGAAACATTTAGCCAAGGAGAGTTAAAGCTAATACGAGAAATTATGTGAGGAAAGACAAAAATGCAGGTGTGGAGAACTGATTGTTTAAAGCCACAAAAGGAATGATCAGGTGAGGACTGATCTGTAAACTGAGAACTAGTGGCAATGGGAATCATGAACAAAAATAACGAGGTTTTAAACTGGAGAATGTGTGACAGGTAAATTAATAAGCAAACACTGGAAGAGGTTGCCTGGAGAAATTATGGATGCCCAATCCCTGGGAGTATTCAAGGCCAGGTTGAATGGGGCTTTGAGCAACCTGGTCCAGTAGAAAGTGTACCTGCCCATGACAGGTGGTTTATAACTAGATGGTCTTTAAGATCCTTTCCCACTCAAACAATTTTGTAAGTCTATGATCCTATGACTGAAACATGCAAAGAAACCAAACTGGAATAAGAACCCTGAGAAACAGATATTGAGACTGGGCAGGCGAAATAATGAAATAGGAATGAGGAAAGCAGTAGAGAAAAAGGATGAGAACAAGGAAGGCACAGGCTCAAAGTAATCGAGCAGGCAAATCTCTGCGCATCAGGTTCAATATCCTTACATCTCCAGAACCTGGCACAGAATTTAGGCTGGCAAAGTCTGTAAAGATAGCCAATTTCAGTCTCCTCATCCTCTTGGATTAATGTTTATAGACATGGAAGAGAACTACCTGGCTCGACACAAACCACAACTCAGCTGAGATTTTACACAAAAACATTATGGAAAATAAAATAATTATTCAAATGTCCTCCTTTTGCACTCAGCTGTAGAACATAACTAGACCCCACTGCAAAACACATGCATTTGTCTTAATACCTTGTCTAATCCTGGTAACCACTAAAAAAATAGGGACAATTTATGAAGATTTAGAATCCTCAAAGATGTGCAGCCATGAAAGTACTTAAGAGATAACACTGCCAAGTGCCCCTGAAGGTATTTGAAGGTAGGGTCTGACGCTGTCTAGACAGAAATCAGGCTTGTAATAACCAATTCTCCTAACCGACAGCCTGTAAACAAACCTGCCTGAAAAGCTTGATCAAAGTCACAGCTTCATTCCTTGGAACCAGACACAGGCAAGTAACTGGAGGACAGATGCCAGGCATCAGCAGGAAGCTGCCAGGACAAGAGCATGCAGGTATAACACACTTGAAATACCTTGTGCATTGCTAGCACACTACAGCAGTGCTATCTGTTGCGTTTTCTGTACCAATGGCATAAACACAGTTCTCCACAAAAAAATTAATTAGAACATAGCTCATTGTCAGAAAGACACTTTGTTCCTTTTACTTAATAATACTTAAGTGCAACAAGGAAACATAGTGAAATAAAAAACATTTTACCCTCTTGTCTTTTGAATTCTCTGACCCCTTGATTTTGTAGATGACCATGTTGTGATGATGTCAAATCCATACTATGCCACAAACTCTAGGACAGAGAAACACAAGTCTGTCTCAATATAATTACTTTATTTCTTCTTTCACACATAAGCTTCATTTTGAATAAATAAATGACATGTATTATGCTACAATTTACTTTTATTGATAGTAGAGACATGAACACACATAAGCATTCAAGGCATAAAAGTACAAGACACAGCAAACTTGTTCAACTGTTATATTCCCACAGAGGAAAAAAAAAGATTAAAAAAAAAACAAACCAAAGTTTTGATTCATTTTAGATCTACTTTATGAAATTTTGTTGTTAGAATCAAAATCAGGTTTGGTAGGCCTATAAAGGATTGAAAGGAAAGATAGAAACAAATTCCTGAAAGAGAAGAAAAATTATACCAATATGATCTAATCTTGTTTGAATTAACTGGTTTGGAAGGGAAGGAAACAATCAAACAGTAAAAGATGCACATGAGAATAAGGGGCAGGATCTACAAATAACATGCTGAACAGAAAGAATACATGCCTATATGAACAGGAGCATGCTTGAAAAAAACTAGTAGGATAAGTGGGACAGAGGACAATACAATTTTCAGCTGTCTGCAGACAACCAATAGTCTCCAATTCTTCATATTTTACAATCAGAAAGAACACTGAGTTCACAGAAAAAAACAAAACAAAAACCTCACACAGTGCTTTGATTATTTTTGATACTTTATATGATTTTTAAATGTCCACTCTTACATGGAAATTTGACTGATTTTTGCCAGGATGATTACATGTAGCATATAGTTAACAATCTACAGATGTTTAAACATCCAATAGGGATGTAATTAAATAAGACAATGACTACAAGAGTATCTTTCCATAGTGGGACCAAACAATAAAAAGAAAAACAAAAAAACAGAAAGGACAATCAAAATAAAAATATATTCTGAATATCAAATCGCCTTTGCAGTGCAAAGTCTTAGGCAGATTTTCTCGCAAAACTTCAGGATCAAGAGAGGCTGTATGGAACAGCCCCCTCTTGTTTGAGAGGATGCACCTTACTCTCTTGACTTCACACCACAAAAGGCACAAAGGTTTAATGTTTAACTTTACTACTACAATACCAGCAGCCATTATCCTGTTCGAAGGTGAAAATAACTTATGGGCTTTCTACATGTCACCATAGCACACAGAATAAAAATATTGCCATTATATTTATGTCTATACATGAACTTAGCAACAGCAACATCATTAGATAGGAAACAGAAAAGAGACTCTGTGGGATTCAAAGCCTTTGTATGCATCTTCAGAATAACAAGTGGCATAAAAAACTACAGGGATACTAAACAGAAAATGTTGCATACAGTCATCACCTCGTTGTTTATATCAGAAGTATTAAAAATGACATATTTTCTTCCCATTAGAAGACAAAATAAAAGGTAAAATCACCCTACAGGACAAAGCCTTTGTATTTTGTCGTCCTTTACATTTTTAATGTAATTCTAAAAATATCCTGAGGTGCACTAAACTACACAGCCACCTAAAATAGTCCAACATGGGCGTTCAGGAGTGCTACAAGCAAATAAACAGTGCTAACAGCTCAGTTACACTTTTAAAAGTAAATTATATAAACTAATATAGCATAAAACACAGAGACAAGCCAAACACCACTAGCATCCACCGCATTTCGGTCTACATTACCTGAATCTCTCACAGCTTTCCAAAGACTGTGCTCCAGCAGCGGAGTCCTTATCTCACCGGTGGCTTGTCCCCATGACAGCCGCAGGCACAGGCGTGATCCGAAGCCTGTGTCACACATTGCCACCATCCCCACACGGCAGCGATCACAAACCCCGACAGCTGCGGCCCCGGAGCGCAGAGGGCACCACGCAGCCCTCACATAAGGGAGCAATTTTGTAACAGCAAGAGGCACCCCTGCCTCCCTAGGGAGCTCCGAACATAAAGTAACCAACTCGGGAGCGCTGTGTACAAAATAAATAGTGGCAGTGTGTTAGCAACTCCTCACTGCTACTAAAAAGTAACTGAGGAACACAAAGTCATTACTCAGAGCCAAAAGGGTCTTCCAGGACAAAAATTTACCAAGGGGAGGGGGTGCTTTTGCAGCTGTTGTATAGGAATGCATGCTCCCGTTGGAATGCAGAACTGTAACAAGGTACAAAATCCTAACCCTGTCACCCTGCATAAATACAAACATACCACTGCTCCATATCCAAGATGTCCATGCACTTAACAGATCACAAACACTGTCGTGGGACCAAACACGGGCATCTAAGATTTCTCTTTTTTAGACTGCAACCAATTCAGGGCAGGAGCCATCTCTCACTTTACACATTTTTAAGAAAAATTAGACTTCAACCTCAACTTGGTTTTCTAGGCGTTGCCAAAAAATAAGCCCTACAGAGAAGTGTGAGTCTCTGTACCATAGTTAGCAGCAGAAATTAAAGAGAGCTCTTCTACTTTTATAAAAAACTCACCAGGACCTGATACACATTTTTAAAGTAAAATTCAGCAATGCTAATGAGTGATTTATAAAATAGTGCTGTAAACTGGCTGGACAGACTGAGAATTTGCTTAAAATATTAGAATCTTTTCTAAAAGTGATTCTAAAAGTGGTATCTAAAAGGGATGATTTTTGCCCCATATAAACTGTACATGAAGTATTAGTCTCTCTCCAATTGTAAGGCCCAAATCCCACCCATCTCTCCTCAGCTCCTCACCCATTTAGGGGAGGATAATGTCTCATACAAAACTTTAACATATGGTCTTGGATTTCAAATAATGAAACAATGAGAAATGCAGTAGAAATATCAAATGAGAACACACACACACACACAAAAAAAAAAAAAAAAAAAAAAAAAGCAAAGACTAAAATGCAACATGAGAACAGAAGTAAGACGGGTAGAATTCTGTGCTTTCCCTCCTTAACATCCAGGAGCTGGAAATAAATTTTACACTCAGAGAAGAGAGGCATGTGAGAAGTCTGAGCTTCACATCACCTCACACAAATTAATCCAATGTGAGTGCTGCAACCAGCAGATACCTCTGAACATCACCTTTGCAAACAAATACTGTCTTTGGACACAGCCAAACTCCAAATGGAGTTTGTAACATGTAACTCTAAATCTGGAAACATGTCTTTTACATTCAGAATATCAACAATTACTGCACATCCAATTATAGAGGGACTTACTGTACTGTATGTTTTTCCTTGAGATTTTTTGAGGGTTTGCATCAGCTCTCTTCAATAAAAACTATTACTTTGGGCATAAAACTTTCAAGACAGGCTTAGGGAAAAAGAAAAGCAAAAAATTGAATCTATTTTACATCTTCCAACACCTAGAAAAAACCCAAGAAATTTTCAGAATTTCATTTAAATTTGAAGTTAGGAAGTAACTGATTGCAGGTGGTTTTAACAGCTCTATCAACTGAATTAGAATGCAAATAAATGGACAACATGTTTTGGCTCAATTTTAAAATCTGAAGCCTGGAAACGTCTATCAAGTGAAATCTAAGTCTTTCTGAGTAAGTGTGCTAAAATTAGTTTTTTTGTTTGGAATCACTTATATTTAAGTTCTGGACAGAAAATGGATGACAAAATGCAGTACAAATAAGGATAATTTATTATATTTTAAAAAGAATTCATTAGAATATTTACAAAGCCCAAGTCAGAAAAATCAGTCTTTTTAAATAATTATTTTATTTAAGACATTTTCTTTCTTATTCCTCTCTTGCTCCGTGATTTTTTTTTTCTGCCTTCAAACACAGGTTTGGCAGTCACCATGACCACATTTCCCATGTCTTCATCCTCATCACTTGAGCTACTGCACCCCTTTTTCTCTTTATGGTCTGCTGTCTCTGTTGCAGACATATTCTTCCTCCTTTTGCTCTTGCCTAAATCTCTGCCTTTAGATTCCTCCACTGAGGAGTCACTAGAAGTTTCTGAAAGATGCAAATTTCCAACAAAACCACCTCCATATAAAAATTCTTTTCTGGAATCTGACTGTTTTCTTCTCTTTCCACTCTGTACTTTTGTTGCTGCAGCATCATTTGCACTGCCTGTGGTACCTTTCCCTTTCCTTTTCCCAGGCTGTTTAAGTTCCATCTCCATGACAGCAGTAGCCTCCTGAATTTCATTGTCTACTTCCTCCTTTTCCTTTCTCTTCAGAGAAATCACAGCTCTGCGCAGTCTCTGGCTTTTAATAGCTTGTTTTTCATGCTGTTCTAGCCTGAAGAATGAATCGATTCGAAGCTGAGTCTATAAAAAATAAAACAGAAACACAGTTGAATGTCTTTGTGGGAATTCAGTTGTTAGCTATATTATAAAGCATCTTAAACTAAAGCAGGACAAAGAAGTAATTAAACTAATACACATGCACACAGATGTGAACAATAAGACACATCATTACAGTAATAATACCCATACTTTATAATAAATTAGGCAATAAGAACCTTTACAGAAATTAATAATTAGCAAACTCTAGTAAGACTTTATAAATATTGCACTGCTGGTGATTAGACATATGTTCCTACTGTCAAGCCTAATACAGAAAATCTCTGTAGTGCTCTTAAGTATGTCCTTACAAACACATCCTTAGCTTCCAGCTGTGAAAGCAGAATGTTTACTAAGTAAATGCTGTAAGCGCACTTTGCATTTCTGCCTCCAAGAGCAAGAACATGCAGGTGTTTGACTCAGGTTCATTACACCACATGATGCTACAGTATAAAGACTGAAGAGTAGAACTAGTAGTCCTCACACAGTGTGGATTTGTGCTATTCAACCACAGCTAGGCCTTTTGGATAGGCTAAGCCAGTCCTCTACTTTTTCCCTAACATTGCCTAAGAGAGACAGACTCTTCCAAAGGATATTGCAGTCAACCTGAAAGTATATATATGTAACTACAGGGCTTTCACTCCACTCAGTGACACAGAGAACCTAGAAGACTGGTTTAGAAAATGTATCTATCTTGTGTATGGCAAAAGGAAAAAAGACATTGGGGATCAATTTTACAACCTACTTTGACAGCTACCACAGCGGGCATTACCATTCACTTTCAAGTGTTAATAAAGCTGACAAAACACTTACTTGGAAATTAGAGTACTATTACTAATGGGCATTTGCTCAACAGTTCAGTCTGCACTCTTCCTCAAAGGATGTGTACAGCATCACTCCACCAAAATCTCAGGGGCACTTTTATATATACTTTATAAAGTACTTATGGAACACTGTCTTCTAGAAGTACTGCAGTTGCTTGAGGTATCTGTAGCTTGACTGTGTCCAGAAAAAACAGCAGCCTGGACTTGAGATAGGTGCTTGATAGGTAAGGAAACTTGAAACCAATGTCTGACATTATGCAGAGTCTCACACAGTACACTCAAATCATACAGAAATCAAGTCTAGAGAAGCAAGCTTAGTGACGTTAAAAAAAATAAATACATAAAAATATTAAAAACCAAAGCCCAGCTTCTGAAAAGATATTTTACTTCAAAGCCTTTTTAAAATGCTTCTCTCACAATTTTCCAGATACTCTTAAACTATAGGTAGATTTTCACCTGCTGCAAGTTCAGTTGTTTCATCACAGGCAAAAGGATTCCATCTATCTTTGTCCTAGTCCAGCCAAAGTGGTCCTTGCAGAATGTGCAGAAAGTTAAGGAACTTTTCAAAATGGCTTCTACTGGTATTTTGTAAACACATAAAATGAAAATTCCTGAAGTAAACAATGACTGGAGGAAAGTTGCTCCACTTAAAGCTTTTTCTACTACAAAAGATTCTCAATTAAAAAAACACATCACAATCACACTGCTGTATCTCCCTTAGTTGCAGAATTTTTTTCTAATATATCAACATTTTCAAAAGCCTGTCTCAGTGAAGACAGAACTCATTTTGGCTAAATGGTATTGCCATAACACAAAATGCCTATAAATAAACCTTATTTTTACACTTGTATCTACTGGAAGTTTCATTTACTGTTCAAAACACTATTAGCTCTGCATTTTTTGCCATCTACTTTTCAATAGTTTACTACAGCTCAGACTGCAACTGAAGCAAAAAGTTAGACATTATTGGAAGAAATGCAGGGAATAACAAGGGATAAAGTGCAGACCAAAACACCATTTCTGTCGAGACGTCAAGACTTATTTGTGAAAAAAGGCAAACTTACAGAGATTTCAAGAGGAGAAATAGGCACAGGACAGTTACAGAAATATAACAGTTATAGAAATATAATATCACAACTAGTCAGTTCAGCTACAAGATTGTCTTTGCATGCTAAGCCCACTCTCAGGAGGGCAAGCAGCCCTGACTGCCACACATGCATGGCAGCATTCCCTTCTATTCCAGAGCTGGTATCATTTTAGGGGAGCACATGCAGATAGGGCTTGGGGCCCCTTGCAACAAAGAGATGTTAAAAACTTGACACTCCATTACTGACTCCTTATGAAATTTGAGTACTTTTACCCAACAAGTAAAAGGATATTCTCTGATCTGCTCTACATCAGGCTTTCCCCAGGTGAATGAACCCCTTGACTCATCCACCACAGGTTTCAGGTATGCTTCTGCCACTGCTGGATTTGGGAAACCAGAATAAAGCTGCAGCTCCCGCAGTTTTTTCTTGACTTTGGTGTCATGTGGATTAGGCATCACTTTCTTATTCTTCTGAGCCTCATTCCACCATTCACTGAAAAACAGAGAAAATTATTAATCTGACTCATAAATAAAATCTGAAGTATCAAGAGCCACCCTGCTAATTTCAATAGCCTTAGTCTCCCTACTTCAATTGCTACAAGAGATGATGTAGAAAATGCCCAAATGAAAAATGGCAAAAGGGACAAAAAAATCTTAAAAGCAGAAAAGACAAAACATACACATTAAATGCAGCTATTGTAAGCCAAAGTAGCAAATATCACCTGGATTCACCATAAACAGCTAACCAGAAGGCTCCAACTTTAGCCTCACTTGAAGAGGATGTTCCACACACAATGATCGTTTTAGAGGTTTTTAGGTATGCAAGGGAAAGAAAGGGAAAAAAAAAGACTTCTAACCATCCTTGCTATTGCCAATACAGCTGCCTTAGCCTCTTCAAATATTGTTCTTGCCCACAGCCTACCTGCCTGTCTCCTTCCAGGTCATTCATTCCTCAGTCAAGTTCCCTTTCTCTATGAGCAAGATACAGCAACCTTCCACCAAAATAAGGAGAATGAACCTCTGCTCCACTATGGATTCAGCTCTCCAATAAACTCTGAGGCAGATGCACAATTCTACAGCTGTTCTGTAGAATTTGTCTCACTGTGATTGCTATATCACCTTGTCTACCTGTGATTCCAAATAGTGACATAATGGAGTCATGTTTTATGGCCTACTTAGTCCCATTAACAATGGTCCCATTAATCAGTGATGGTTATATATTTTGCTGCATGTTTAAGCATCAGAAAAGCATATTTACTAATAATCACAATATGGAGATCCAAAAAAGCAAATCATAATGAAGCATACGCGAATTTTAAGAGAGGTTCCAAGCCATGTCCAGGAAATTCATTTAAAATCTCCATCGCTGTTACAAAGCCAACATTTGGGATGCCCTCAGTGTAGTCACTTCCAAGCAAGTATGCCAAATTAATTAGCTTGTTTCTATCCAACCCTGAAAAAGAAAGTGTATAGATTCACTATTAATTATCTTACAAAATAAAAAATATTATCAGAAAGGCAAAAACTGAAAGGAACACAAAGGCATTAACTCCATAAAATTATATTTAATTCAACAGCACAATTTGCTAAGTTATATTCTGGAGCAGTATCAATATACTCCTGTGCTAGCTCAACCACTAATAATTGTGCTAATTTGGCAAATATATCTTGCCAAAATGAAAATGTTACAATGGACATCAGGAGGAATTTCTTTCATGGAAATGATTGTTAAACATTAGACTGGACTGTGCAGTGAGGTGGTGCAGTCACC